AAAGGGAAGTACCTCTAGAATCCCATGACCAAAGCTACTTTCTCGATATGCACTATATTCAGGCTGCTGGTCCCAACAGAACTTTCCTGCTGCCGGGCCTGATGTGAAATTAAATGCACAAAAGCCACCCATAAGCTTATCTGGAGTTGTACATGGTTCTGGACAGTTTCCGGGTTCATCAGCATGTGCAATTGCCATCTTCTCTCGGTTACCACCATCACCAACTGTTATATATACAGGACCACATGGATCCAAAGTGTAGTTATACACCCGATTTGACCTCTCGTAGGTGTGAACCTGTTGATTGTTTTCAAACTGTCACAACTCTCAACTCAAATATACAAGGATTTCTGCCAAAAGCCTGACAAACTATGCAGCACATAAAAAGAAAATTGCAATACAGTGCTCTCTAGAACATAATCTCAAACCACACCAATTCTGTACACAGTATGAAGCATTTCTATTATTGAGCCCCATGCCCTATTGGCCTACTAGATTTTGTTTTCTGTTCCAAAGCTGGTGTGGTTAAGCAAGGACATTGATTTAAGATATAGGTAATCTGGAAATTATAAAAAGCACGAAAGATATTTGGTTAGCATGGGCACAGCACTCCTTGACCAAAAAAAAAGCATGGGCACAGCACTCAGCTTGCTTAGCTTACAGAGTTACTAAGGGTAAGGAAATGTTAATAGAACTTCAGGGTATCACCCCACCTCTAAAAGAATCTGTAAGATTTGGTTTAGCTATGTTCCCTGAATGATTATCAAAGTCACACCGATGTCCAGAAACTTTGTTTGAGATTCATCTCGAGATTAAGATTGGTGAACTGTCTGATCAGATAAGAGGGCAGTTGTAAGAAAGTTGCAATTTGAAAAACTCCTGCTGAAATGATTTTACTCAGAGAAAACTGAAGATGTGAATTTTTTCAAGTTTGAAGAACTGCAGTAGAAAGGTTTACCACTAAGAATGCCATGATTGTATTAAGATTTTGGAACTTGAAAAGGTTTGTTTAACTAAATAATGAAATCCTAGAATCAAACAGATTAACTAAGGTAAAGGGCTGCCTAACAGAAATCCTAGAAGCTTGCACAGAGGAGATTATATTGTTCATAGGATAAATATAACAATACATACTGCACTTACATGGCCATTGAAGACGATATCAACACCATACTTATAAAGTATGTCTTCCATCTCGACTCTCATACACTCCGCTTCTCTGTAATGTGCCACGTAGGTGCTGTACCATGGTGGGTGCCATGTAGCTACCAACCAAGGAGTCACATTTCTGTCAAAATTAGCCAGATCTTTCTCCAACCACATGTACTGATCGGCTGTAAGAGAAAAAACTAGTAATCTCAAAATGGCCTAACTTGTAACTAAGTGGAAGAAGTAAAAATGTTCTTCTTAGGCAAGCAAATGAAATAGCAGTGTCAATCTGAGCTAACCTGATTTGTTATAGGCTGTGTAGGCACCAAGCATTATAAAGTGAATACCCCCGGCATTAAAAGAATAGAATAATGTAGATGATGATCCACTCTCTTCTGAGGGGAACGCAAATCGCGAACTATAAGAAACAAATGTTTGATTTCCAGCCTGTTGTTCAATGTCATGGTCCCCTTCTACCACCATTATTGGAACTTTGGACACTAGAGGCTGCATATACCTAATAACAAACAGACCATAAATTTCCCTTTAGGTAAAGTTGTACAAAAATTAACCAGGTGCTTCCCCACAAAAATTAGCAGAGAGAAGTTAAATCACACCTTCCCCAGTAATCCCAACGAGGCTGATAAGTTTCCTGAATGGGAGTATGTGGAAATGAGCAAGAGTAACAATCAGACCCAGTTCCATTTGTGAGATACAAGTCAGCATAACTAACATCCCCAACCAATAATAGAAGATCGGGTCGGTTAGCCAACAAGTGATCAACTGTTGATGTAGTATTGTATGTAAGACCCAGGTCCCCCACCACAGCTACTCTGCTGGGGTAACTCTTGGGCCCGGATACCGGCATAGTCTTGAAATATGACACTCTACTCATTGCTGGAATAGAAGGATCTCCACATTGATACTGATATAAGGTGTTGGGTATCAATCCTGCAAAGAGACATTGGAACTGGGAGACTTGCAAACAAAATCATAATTAGGTAAGTCCTAGCAAACACATATAGAATGGGATGAAGCAGATCAACCTTCAATTTCTCTGCTCTTACATTGCATAAACATTATGAAATCAACAATGGTTACTCTATTGAGTGTCAATGAGGAGCTCTTAAAACTCATTCCATTTTTTTGAGGATACAAATTATTCATGAAGGTTTAAAAGGGATTCAACACTAAAATGATCATATACCTGCGAGACGAACATGATGTATAATCCCAGAAGTGTAGTTTTGGAGGCCTTCAAACTGATACAGCTGATTGTAAACAAGGGAATTATTCCCGGTTGATCTGTTAGTCATAGGAAATCCATATCTTCCATATATAACAACACCTGAAACAGTTTTCGGATCCAATGGTTCTATATTGTCCCCAATTTGAAACTCCCCTGGAAATTCAATCATGAGAGAGATAGAGTCTTTAGTTCATACAACTTCATAACTCAATATTTTCTATTTTGTAACATTCCCATTCTCAAGTCCAAAACAAAAAAAAAGTATCTTTCCCCATCCTCAGTCCAAAAGAAGTAACATTTCCATACATGAAAATTGGCCTCATTCAATTGAATTGTGACAGTAATTATGATAACTCAATTCCTGGTTTCAGTGCAATCAAACATCTAATAATGACCCAAATAGGAAACAGGTAGGTAACTCTTGAACAAAAATGATTAAACATATATTCTTTTTATTTCTTCTTTGGCCAAGAAATTAGATATCATTGAACTAAAACAATTTCATTTTAAGCTTACATGTGAAAAGACAACCAAATACAAAACTCATTGTTAGATTTCAAAAACTCAATCAGCATAAAACTTGGAAGTTTTAATATGCAAAAGAAAATAAAACGCAACAGAAGCTCAAGTACTGGAGCTTCAAGGAGAAAGAGAGAGAGACCTGTGATCCAAGATATCCAAACAGAGTCATGGGTTCCAGAGAGAGAGACAGAGATTTGTTCAGGCTCGAAACCTTTAACGATTCTTTGAACTCGAGGATCAGTTTCAGGCAAGTCAACTGCATTGCCTCGAAAGCTCTTGTCAAGAGGAACAGTGACAGGCTTGAAGGGTCCATCAAGGGTAGTCGGAATTCCTCCATGAACAAATGTCAAGCTCAGTGTGAGCAGAATAAACAGTGCAACTGTGGGCAACGTGAACAAACCCATTTATTTGTTCAATAAATAGAAACCCAGTAAAATATTTTGGATAGGTTTAGAAGAGAGAGGGACAAAGGATTTAAAAGTGAAAGAAAAAGTAGAAGAAAGGACAACCAATTTGGAGGCTAAAAAGTGCATGAGGTCGCTTAACTTTGTAACGTGAGACAAATACGTGAATGAAGCATATGTGGCCGTTGGGCTTAACATATGAAGCCTTGCTCTGATGCCAAAAAAGAAGTTGAAGTGTCACTCCAAAACCAATTGACAATGAGAGGAGTAAATCAACCCTTATAGACCCAAAGTAGGTCCCTTAATTTTTCAATATGTAACAAATACTCTCAACAGAAGCCACCTATATATATATATATTATATATAACACAAAAATAAATAAATATATGTAGCAAAAAAGTGCAGTTGCTTATGTTTGTTTCATTGAATATGGTGTTTATGTTCAAACCCGTGCCACTAAAAACATGAAAACATGTTGTTTAGACCTTAAATATGATATGAGTTTGTTTTAGTCAAATAGTCTGCTGCTGTCGGTTATTTAACAAACTGTTCCGTTTTAAGAACAGGGGGTTTTTTTCTAAATTTTTTTATTTTTGAGATACATCGATAAGGGGGAGGGGGCACACTCTCTGTGGGATTCGAAGGTGGGTCATCGGGGGGAGGGGGGAGCACATCAACCACTGGGGTAAACCCGAGGACCCAAAAAACAAGGTTATATCTCTCTTTCTGATTTTTCTTTTGCTTTCTATGGTGTAGAATACTTTTCGTCCAAAAAATATATATATATGGTGTAGAATACTTTCCATATACAAAATGTTAACACAAAATGTTGGTGGAGGAAGGGAGGGCATGAGAGAAGCAGAGTAGAGAATAGACGCGAGGCTACAGATCAGGGACGCTAGGTTTTTTTTTATAGAGAATAAATAAAAAATAGAACACACATGGTAATATTCATTAATTAACACGACATGACATATCAGCTTCCAATGCCACATAAGATGATCAGTTAATGTAGTTAATGTGGTTATATCTCTCTTTCTGATTTTTCTTTTGCTTTCTATGGTGTAGAATACTTTTCGTCCAAAAAATATATATATATGGTGTAGAATACTTTCCATATACAAAATGTTGGTGGAGGAAGGGAGGTCATGAGAGAAGCAGAGTAGAGAATAGACGCGAGGCTACAGATCAGGGACGCTAGGTTTTTTTTTTATAGAGAATAAATAAAAAATAGAACACACATGGTAATATTCATTAATTAACACGACATGACATATCAGCTTCCAGTGCCACATAAGATGGTCAGTTAATGTAGTCAATGTTGTGTGTCTAAATAACATTTATGTTATTATTTAGCCCAACCTTTTCTCTAATTATTATTTTTCAACTAATATGGCACGTGACAACGCAAGTAACACCATTGCATTAGAAGGATCCTTTATTTTAGTAGCAAGACAGTTTTTTTCGTGGGCTAAATTTGGCAGTAAATAGCTACACATTTTATATGACGACAATCCCACCAATAATATTTTAGATATTTGTGAAAATTAAACAACGAAGCAATGAAGAAAAATGAAAATTTGCTTTTGTCCTTGACGCTTTGGACAAATCCATTTAAATTTCTTTTAGTTATTTATTTATTTTTCTCAATCCATTTTAAACAGTTATTTTCTCGTCTAGCTTCTTGCTGTCCTAAAATCCAGGAAACTACAATATAGGAAAAAAGAAAAAGAAAAAGGGGAAGATTACAAAATCATTATACTCGAAGAAGAAACCCTTGCGCTGCGTGGGCGGATCAATTGGGAGATCTGGAAACGCTGAAGGAAAATCTTTCCGGGAAAATATTATCCAGTTGATCCAAACACGCCACACATTCTTCTATTGAAGCGAGAAGCGTAGAGAGAAGAAGATAGAGAAAGATGAATATATTCAGATTAGCAGGGGATATGACCCATTTGGCTAGCGTTCTGGTTTTGCTCCTCAAGATCCACACTATCAAATCCTGTGCCGGTTAGTATCCTCTTTCTCTTTTCGCTTCTGTTCATTTAGCTCCCACTTGACCGTATTTTGTTAATTTTTTCTTTCTGGGGTTTGTTTGGTTGCTGCTGAGAAATGGCGGAAAACAAGGAAAGATTTAAAACATTTCCTTTTGTTTTCGGTATTTTGGATTATATAAATGAGCTCCCTTTATTCTAGAGAATGTGTTTACTTCATTAAGCTAAAAATTATGAGATTTGGGGTTTAACGTTTTGCATAATTGGCGACATTTTTCTCGGGAATTAAATGGAGTTTTAGAATGGGTGATAATGAAGGTTTTGGTTAAGATAGGAGTATAGAAATGATTGAGTTATGGAATTTACATAGGGTGTTGTACTTCAAGTTTTGTTATGTGCACGAAATATAGTGGTGTGAGTGTAATGGTTTTGATCGAAATATGGGTAGTTTTCTATGGTGGTGAGTGTCTTCTATGGTTTATTCATATGGGATTCCATATAAGCATGCTTATTTGGCATGTCATGACCTCCTATTCAATAAAAGACATCTGGGTTGTAGTTTTTACTTGGTAGTTTACTTTTCATCTTTGAAATAAATGGAGGTGATGTAGAGATGTATGGATGGGGCAAAAGTGTTTGTCAATTTCCTTTGACTGATTGCTATATGTTCCGGAGGAGGGAAGGGGCACTAGTGCAAGGGCCAGATGGTCTTCTATGAGTGAATGATAGTAGGATCCCAAGAGAAATAATGAGGTGGGTTTCTAGAGTCATAACTAGTAGTTGGTAAATTGTGCCCATTAAGCGCACTCAT